GCACGCATCCCGCACCGCCAGGCGGTGGACGAGGCGCGAGGCCCGGCCAGCCGGCCCGGGCAGAGCTGGGATTCCGTCCCCGGCCGTCTGTCTGTCTGTCTTGTTCTGGGTGCTGTCTGTCTGTCTGTATGTCTTGTTCTGGGTGCTGTCTGTCTGTCTGTCTGTCTTGTTCTGGGTGCTGTCTGTCTGTCTTGTTCTGGGTGCTGTCTGTCTGTCTGTCTGTCTTGTTCTGGGTGCTGGCTGGCTGTCTGTCTTGTTCTGGGTGCTGGCTGTCTGTCTGTCTGTCTTGTTCTGGGTGCTGGCTGGCTGGCTGTCTGTTTTGTTCCGGGGCTCGTTGGGGGCTGGGGTAGCCCGGGATCAGGTGCACCTCGCCTCGGCCCGGCAGGCGCGTGTCTGTCCAGCTGTCCGTTGGCTGTCCTGATCCCTCTGCCCGGGGCTGTTGGCCTGAACCAGAACTCGGTGTCTCCACCGCACAGCCGGCCTCGCCCGTCCAAGAACGTTCTGGAAGCTGTGCTTGACCCACAAACTGCACACACGGGTCCCGTATCCAGTTCCAATTCCTTTGTTTCCTCAAACTTGAGCTCTTCTCCTTTCCCACCTTCTCTCTGCTCACCCTCCCGGTGTCTAATCTCCAAGATAAGCCCCAACCTGGGGCGGGACCCACCTGCCTGGCCCTGAGCTCCTTTGCTCACAGCCTGGGGCCACGTCTAGGTTTCGGGTTTGGGGGTTTGGTTTCTGGTGGATGATTGGAGATGAGTCCCCCAGACTTTCTACCCGAGCTGGCTCCAGACCTCAGCCTCCGGAGTAGCTTTACCTTTGTACTGGTGTTTGTCTGTACTAGGACCTGAACTCCTCCGGCTCTCCCTTTCTTGCTTGCTTTTTTCCACTCATGGCTGGCGCTCTGCCACTTGAGCCACTCACTACTTACTGCTTTCTGCTGGTTAGTTGGAGGTAAAAAAATCTCACAGACTTTTCCTTCCCAACTGGCTTTGAATGGTGATCCTCAGATCTCAGCCTCCAAATAGCTAAAATGACCGGCTTGAGCCTCCAGTCCCTGACTGAGAAGCTATAATCCCTTCCCCTGTCATCCCAGCTACTCGAGAGGCTGAGATCTGAGCATGGCAGTTTGATGCCAGCTAAGACAAAATCCCAGAGCCTCATCACCAGGGAGGTACCACCAAGCTAGAAGTGAAGGTGTGGTTTAAGTGGGTAAGCGCCAGCAAAGCAAAAAAAGAGAAAGTACCCAGGGTTTGGTTCAAGCCCAGGTACTGACACAAACCATCTCTAACTTCCTTGGGAGAAATAGGCTGGAGGGGTTTTACCCTCCTGAAGCCTGCCTTTGGGCTCCCTAAGGATTGAGACTTTTGTTTTTGTTTTGGGTGTGTGTGTTTGTGTGTAGTGAAACCTGGGGCCTTAAACCCTAAGCCCTAAGGTTTAAGTTTGGAGCAGTTTTTCTAGAAGTTTCTCTTTGCCCTCAGGCAGGACCAGTAATCTTCCCTGCCCTGTGGTGAGGTGCTCACAGAAGTTGCAGTCCAGTTACAATCTATAAGCCCAACTCTGGTTATTCCTGAAGCCCAAGTTTAACAGGCGAAGTTCAGGGGATTTGACATATTAGCCATGGAAAACAACAGCCAAAAAAAAAAAAAAACCAGAAACGGATCACTTTTAGAAGTTCAAGTTGAAAGGAACTACTTTTTTTAAAAAATATATTTTTATTGTGAAAATAATGTACAGAGGGGTTACAATTACATGGGCAAGATAATGAGCACATTTCTAACTTTCCTGGAGCAAGTTGTCTATCACAGTCTGTAACATATAACGGTGTTCACGTATACACCATACATGTGATCAGCAGCATGGAGATATTTACTAGTGGTTCAACCAGATGAGTGGGAGTTCTTTGTTTCTTAAGTCCTATTAATTTTGTCGTATCATCTAACATTTTGGATTTAACATCCACTTTTCAGGGAGACCATGTACCGTTTGTCTCTTTGCTCTTGGCTTACCTCGCTCAACATGATTCCTTCTAGCTCCATCCATTTCCCTGCAAATGCCATTATTTTGTCATTTCTGATGGCTGCATAATATTCCATTGTGTATAGATAACCACAATTTTTGGATCCATTCATCTGTGGTGGGGCATCTGGGTTGTTTCCATATCCTAGCTATTGTGAACAGTGCTGCAATAAACATGGAGGTGCACGTGTCCTTGTATATTGGTTCCTGTTGTTCAGGGTAGATGCCTAGAAGTGGTATGACTGGGTCGTAAGGGAGGTCAATCTTTAGCTTTCTAAGGCCCCTCCAGACTGCTTTCCAAAGTGGTTGTATAAGTTGAAAGGAACTACTTTAAAAGATGTTCATTACCAGCCAGGCACTGGCTTCTGCCTGTCATTCTAGCTACTCAGGAGGCTCATGTTGGAGGGTTGTGAAACTCTAATCTCCACTAAAACTACCAAAAAGCCAGAAGTGGAGGTATGGCTCAATAGATAGAGCATCAGCTTTGAGCTTGAGCCTTGAGTTCCAGCCCCAGTATGGAAACAATATACCAATGAAAGAAGTAAAGATCTAAATTACAAGTTGTTAAAAAGCCTTGAATATAGGTTTTAAGAGGAAGAATGAGGCAATAAGTTTTGTTACGTGCTGGTACTCCTGGGGCTTGAACTCAGAACCTTTGCTCTGACGCCACAGCTCCACTTTTCACATTCTGCTGGTTCATTTGAGATGGTCTCCTGACCTTTCCTTCCCAGGCTGGCTTCAGAGCGCGAGCTTCTGAGTAGGTGGGATTACAGGCATGAGTCGCCGTGCCCGGCTGGGCTTTCAGCTTTGCTGTCCTGTCCCCCCAGGTCATCGTGGAGAAGGCTCCCAAAGCCCGCGTGCCTGATCTGGACAAGAGGAAGTACCTGGTGCCCTCCGACCTCACCGGTAAGGCTCGCTGCACAGCCGCGTGCTTCTCGAGTCGGTGGGAGCTGCCCAGAGCCAGCTGACCCAAAAACGATACATCGCTGCTCCATTCTAAGTGTTGCTTTCTTATCACCTTATCTCACTTAGTTTTCAAAAATCAGCTTTCGCTGGGCACTGTGGCAGACGCCTGTCATCCCAGCTACTCAGGAGGCTGAGATCTGAGGATCCTGGTTCAAAGCCAGCCCAGGGAAGAAAGGCCCAGGAGACACTGATCTCCAATGAGCCACCAGAAAACCAGAAGGGGAGCTGTGGCTCAAGGTGGTAGCACATTTAGCCTTGAGCAGAAAGCGCTCAGGGACAGCGCCCAGGCCCTGGGCTCAGGCCCCAGATTGACAACACGCAAAGCAAGCTAGCACATGCCTGTCCGAAAGGGGAGGGACAGGATGGAACTGTGTTCTGGAAGCGCCCTGCGCTGACCCCTTGCTCTCTCCTTCTGGCCCGTGCCGCTTCCTGTCCAGTCGGCCAGTTCTACTTCTTGATCCGGAAGAGGATCCACCTGCGCCCGGAGGACGCCTTATTTTTCTTTGTCAACAACACGATCCCCCCGACCAGCGCCACCATGGGCCAGCTGTATGAGGTAAGGGCTCGGGGCCCAGCGCCAGCACCCGCGCCCGCTGGCTCTGTTGATAAACTTGACCTTGGAAAGAGGGCACAGGTTTGGGTATCTGGATCCCGTGACCAGGGGAGGCCCTGGGGGGTCAATCAAGCCTCTTGTTCTAGAAGAATGCAACCTTCCTCTCCCCGCCCCACCCCAGGATAGTGAATCCTAGGGAAATCTCTTCCTCTTGCTCTGAGAGCACTTGGCTGCTAGATTGGCATTTATTATAATGGCAGGATGGTTCGTGACTGCAATAAATTACAGAGCATCACTCTCATTACTGTTGGGAACATTTAAACTATTTATTTGTGGTGTCCTAGGGCTTGAACTCAGAGTCTGGGCGCTGTCCCTGAGCTCCTGCTGAAGGCTGGCACTCTACCCCCATTTCGTAGATTGAGAAGGCTACCAGTATAGTAAAGCTAACTTCTTGTCACCCTGCAATTAGTCAGGGTCAAACTGTATTGTCTATAAAATACTCTGGAGACGTGAGGCTGGGCCTGGCGGCTTCTGCCTGTAATCCCCAACTACCCAGGAAGAGGCTGAGAGTTGAGGATCACAGATGGTGGCTCAAGTGGGAGAGTGCTAACTTGGAGCCCGGAAGCTCAGGGACAGTAGTGCCTCGGCCCTGGGTTCGAGCCCCAGACCTGGCACCAAAAGAAATGGAAGAGAAGAGTGACCGTGAACGCTCTCTTCCCCCAGGACAACCATGAGGAGGACTACTTCCTGTACGTAGCCTACAGCGACGAGAGCGTCTATGGGAACTGATGGTGGACGTCCAGCCAGCAGGCACCTGGACGCGGGGTGGGCGGGGCAGGCGGGAGAGGACCCGCGGAGGAGGCCAGCGGAGGACACGACGCCATTACACTGCGCGCACACCCAGCCTGGTTTTCCCGTGCTTCTATGATTCCTTTTCTTCTTCTTTTGCTGCCTCCTCAGCAGCATGTGCGGATGGAGCGATGGGCTGCTGTTCACAGAGGTCGGGGTGATGGCTGAGAATCCGTGTCTGTCTGTCTGTGTGTGTGTGTGTGTCTGTGCGTGTATGTGTCTGTCTGTCTGTGTGTGTGTGCTTGCGTGTGTGTGTGTGTGTGTGTGTGTGTTTGTGTTCGGTCCCTCTCTCCCCCTTCAGAGTTGGGGGAAGGGGGAGAGAGCCCAGGAGAGTTAAGCCGAGGACAAATGGCCCTGCTTCCCTTCTGCTGGGCATGGATTTGACTTCACCCGCCCACTGCACATGAAGCCTTCCGGCCGGTCCCCAAAGTGTCTCTTTACCCGCCCCCCCTCGAGATGGGATGCAGCGTCCCGGATGTCTAGATGGAGCTCCCTTGCTCTTGGGAACCCGGGCTCAGGCGTAAGGACGCTTCTGAACGGTGCAGTCGCACAAAGCTGGAGTGGACCCTTCACCCCGCTCATGCCCTGGGGGTTCAGAGGCCGCAGGCAGGGGGCGGGTCTGCAGGCAGGAGCTTCCTTCCACCTGTCAATCACGCGGGGTTGTGCCCCTTCCCCATCGTCCCTCCCTCCCAGCCGCAGAGGGCCGCCTCCTGCTCAGGACTGCAGTGTAGGCCTGACACTTTTTTTCTTTCTTCCCGTTTGGTTTATTTTCGCCGTGGGGGTGAGGAGCAGGACATTACATTTCAGTCCATCTCTGCTAAGGAAAGATCCTTCCTGTGGGGATAAGTATGCGGATGTCTGCTTTTGTCAGCTGTGAGTTCTTGTATAATGAAGTCAATGCAGCCAGGCCAAGGAAATAAAATAACTGCGTCATCTTAAAATAACACCTTGAGTTTGGAAGTGCTTTTATTTGATACAGGTGTGTGTGTGTGTGTGTGTCTGTGTGAAGTTTCCAAGCTGAGTGTCCGTGTGTGTGTGTGTGTGTGTGTGTGTGTGTGTAGTTTCCAAGCTGAGTGTCCGGGGTTACAGGCTGAGCCACCCTACCGGTCTGGAGTGTGCTCCTGGTCGCAAGGGATCTGGTGGGACTTGGCACATGTCCCGTTTCTTATTGAGTCAGTAAGGAGGCCGACCCACGCGGCCCTCAGACAGGAGGCTATTTATTCTCCTTGTGGCCACCAGGTGGCAGGCTGCGTCCATTTAACTCCCAGGACCTGGAGGGGGGGCCCTGAGCCACTTCAGTAGTAACCAGAAAATTGCAAGCGCAGTGTGGGCGGCCACGCCTGTCATCCCAGCTACTCAGGAGGCTGGTGTCTGAGGACCGTGGTTCAAAGCCAGCCCGGGCAGGGAAGTCTGTGAAACTCATCTCCAATGAACCACCAAAAAGGTAGACATGGAGGTGTGGCTCAAGTGGTAGAGCACTCACCTTGAGCTGAAGAGCTCAGGGACAGGGCCCAGGCCCAGAGTTCAAGCCCCATGACTGACAAAATTAAACCCAAAACAAAAAAATAAAGGTTACTCTAATCAAAGTAGTTTAGGGAGTTTTATCCACTCCCACCTCCCGTGTGCTGATGCATAGGTGATTCATTTCCTGGATCTCACCTCGTTTTCTGTTTAGGGTCCATTACCCTTCCTTCTGTCTGTCTGTCTGTATGAGCTCCTGATTGTGTATGTGGGTCACGGGACTTGAACGCGAGGCCTGAGTGCTGTTCTGAGCTTTTTTGGTGCTTTACCACTTGAGCCACGGCTCCACTTCAGTTTTCTAGTGGTTTATTGGAGATCAGTCTCATGGACCTTCCTCTCCAGGCTGGTTTAGAACCATGATCCTCAGCCTCCAGAGTTGCCGGGGTTACAGGAGTGAGTCACAATTGTTACGATGAAGATGATGTACAGAGGGGCTGCAAAAGTAACTTACTACATAAGATAAGTCAGGAAATGAGTCCATTTCTCTTTGGACAGTGTCCCCCCTTCCCTCGATCCCAATTTTTCCCTCCCATCCCCACCCACAAGTGGCAGAGCTGACTCCCCACATGGTGTCCAGAGAGGACCCGGCTGCCTTTGTTCACCTGTCCCGCCATTTCTGCGCCCCCTCGCCAAAGACAAGAAGCCAATAAGACAAAAAGAAAAACAAGAGCAGCAACCAAGTGGGGGACAAAAACCACCTCACCTCTATAAATAAATGCTTGGCCTGGCAGCCGCAGCGCTGTGCTCAGGAGGTGTGAGCGCTGCCATTTCCTTGGGTGCCCTCCACACAGCCAGCCACCCTCGGCGCTCCAACATGTGTGGAGGATTCTAGAAAGCTGTAAGTGACATGGGGTCTCCGTCTGGGATCTCCATGTAGAAACTGGGGACCTTTTCTCCATCTTCTAGGCGTCAACTTGGTGGGAGAGTGAGAAATGTTTCCAGCCTAGCGCCCCTCCCCCCCCTGCCCCCCCCCCCCCGTCTCTCTGCCTCTGTTTGTCTTAGGTGTCTCTGCCTCTGTCTGTCTCTCTGTCTTAGGTGTCTCTGCCTCTGTCTATGTGTCTGTCTGACTGTCTCTCCTTTTCTCGTCTGTCTCTGTCTAAGTCTCTATTTCTGTCTCTGTGTGTCACTTTCTCTCTTTCTCTGTGTCTCTGTATCTTTCTTTCTCTGTCTCTGTGTCTGTCTGTCTGTGTGTCTGTCTGTCTGTCTGTGTGTCTCCATGTCCCCATGCTCCCTCGAGCTCCAGCTTTCCCCTCCCTCCTCCGGCCTCCAGCCTCCAGCCCCGCAGCCTCCACACACGGAAATGTCCGAAGCTGAGCCTGGTGGGCGTTTCTGCTTTTCTTCTTTCTTTTACTACGTCTGCTTTGCCTTTTCCCCTGGTGAGTTGACTGCATTGTTTGTCCTCGTTTTCTGACTGTGCCAGGTGTGTAAGGCCAGGGAAAGCCTGAGGTCTCTGCTCACAGGATGATCTTCCACGGGACCACCGGCCTCCAAACCAGCTGCTCCGCACCAGCGGCCGCCGCTGTGGGGCCTGCAGCCTGGAGCACGGCACAGGGACTTGGCTATGTGTGTGTCCCTCCTCCTCCTCCTCCTCCTCCTTCCCCTTCCCCTTCCCCTTGCTTTCTTCTTTCTTTAGTTCCTTCCTTCCTCCCTCCCTTCCTTCCTTCCTTCCTTCCTCCCTCCCTTCCTTCCTCCCTTCCTCCCTCCCGTCCTTCCTT